AAACCATTGGAATGGTTCGAGCAGGCATGAGCCAACAACAGGTGGCAGCACATTTCCAATGCCATCGTAACACGATATCTGTATTGGTCAGTTGTTATGGAAACAGTAATGACGTCGCCGACCACCCACGTTTTGGGCGTCCCCGAGTAACGACGCCAAGACAGGACAGATGGATTCGGGTGAATAATCTCAGACACAGGTTCCAGACGGCAGTGACCACGTCCCAAACCATTCCCCAGGCTTTCAATTCTCATTTGGTAGCCTATATGCGTCGTCGATGCGCTGCTGTGCTTCACGCGCATGATGGTCATACCCGTTATTGACTTTGTGACTTCGTCGTGTGACCCCCTACTCAATTTTGAACTTCTGACCTCATCGTTACGGATATTGTTCATGTTCTTTTGACATGTTGTTGTGGCCCGATACTTCAGTTTATAAAGTGTCTACATCATTTCGTCTTTTCTGTGTTGTATTCCAATTCTGAAGGAATGTTCTGTGTGCACAGTTTCTTTATGTGGCTAGTATACATCACTTGAAAGTCATAGAAAAAATATACCAGTTAAATATACCAAAAATGCCAGCCTCCATTCTTTCAAATTACTCTTTTCATCCACTAAAAGAAAGGAACTGAAATCCCTTGCAGCATTTATAAATATTATTGCAACACGAGTGTCATAACCTCTCACATAAACTAGATTGTTCTCGTCACGATATGGCTGAAATATTGCCGATGTGACGCTAAATAATAACTCACTCACTCACTCATAACCTCTCACTATCATGCTTGTTGTACCCATTATATATGTACTGCCATCTTGCACATCATACTGCATTATTATACCTTGTAATTCACTCTTAGACCACATTTGGTGGTCCTATGGAGAATAAAGAATCTGGAATCTGGAATCTGTAACTCAGCTGATAATTCCTCTTGCTGCACTTACATGCACATATCACATAACAGGTAATACATTTGCCACATAAGACCTTGATTTATAATGTTGAGTATTTACTCCAGACAGAAGAAATGCCAAATGGGTAATCTGAGTGGTGTTACCACTAATTATACCTGTTATAAATTCATTAACTGACCATCAAGTCAATGATGACAAATAACATGTGTAGGTTTATGCCACCAAACACGGAATACAGCAAGGGAGAAGTAAACGCTGTATTGCATGCAATTTTAATAGCCTGAAAACACTAATGAGCCGACGCTGTTTTAAGTATACGAACGGAACTTCATTGTTACATAAGAAATACATATAAGCATTTGCTGTGTACTTAGGTAAATAGGTATAATCAGTTTTAACCTAAGAAAATTTTCCGATTTTTCTAGCAATGGCAAAGTGGTTGTTATTAGTTTACGGATTAAAAAAAAATCAAATGTGGGTTTTCATTATCATAGGTAATAGACCAGGGGCGTAGCTACCATTATAAAAACAGCCCGGGCTTACACATGACTTTTGCTATGAAAGTTGGGCCAACCCTCAATACTATCTAAATATAAAGTTTTGCAATCTATCGGACTAATATGAAACATATGGCTTGCTACGTGCTGTAGACATCATATGTTTACATGACATGATTAAATATCGAGGTAAAAATCACAGAAATAGGATCAAATTGGATCAGTCACTATACCATTCAGGCATTAGAAAATCTGAAAAAGCGTACACTGCTGGGATACTTTATTACAATCAGACAAGAAATACCAGGTATATTTTCAAACAACGGCATGTGAAGGGCAGCCACCCTTCTTAATGTCCCCCTGGTTTTGTGACATTAATCGCTCCGGATCAGTGGCCCTTTAAAGTACGACTTTACAGATGCCGATTTCTTGTTGATGCATAGAAGGGCGTTTCCATGTTTATTCTCACACCGTTATCAAGATAAAAGTTACTACCTCCAGGTGAATAGAAGTGACAAGCAGCAAATTAACAACAGGTACTTTAGCAAGTAGCACATTGTTGGATGAGGCCAGCAGGAGAGTAAGATCAACAAATTGTAAACAGGCTGATTGGATGCTAATTAAACAGCTAATTGACAGATTCTATCTGTAAATCAACTTCAGTATGACAAGGTCGAAATCCACTCCATTGTCCAAGTGATGGAATCTATCAACATTCAATCAGCTTGTTTATCCTGAACGATGGACATTAAAATACCGCTATATGCAATAAACAGGGAGTTGTTATCACGTAAGTGGTATGTTTCGTTATGTATCCCCATACTGCTTACTGCAGAATAAGTGAGATCTGCCTCAATTATTTTCGTTCTTTAAACCAATATAGTCATTATGGTTACAAACTGCCTGATTTTAATACCTATCAATTTAGATGTTATATATGAGCGTATGCACACACACCTACACAAAACATACGTAATTTGTGAATTCTGTTCGGACGAATACAAGAAATATCTAATTTAATAAGAAACACTATATAAATTATCTTCCCTCACGCTAAAAGAAGCTTGGCATTATTCGTTCATGTTTTAATAATTTTATCTGCATAAAAGAAGGGATTATCAAAAAATGTGACACAAATTTTCGTATACTACCATTTCACCAACATTGCGATATTGATCATGAAACAATGTTAAGTTCAGTCTGATTTCATTCAGTCATTCAGTCATAATATGCGAGGTTCCTCATTCACACATACCATACTAACTGACATCTCAACATAAAACAATATACAATCAACCAATTCAATACAATACAACTTTCACCGCCTGTGCATACCACACTGTTCACGAATCTCTCAGGTGTATTAGAGCGATGATCACATCGCGACATGTTGAACAAACCTACAGCTCAGCTGATTTAAATAACTTACTTCCATAAGAAAAGCAAAATTTATGGATATCAAATTCTTTATTGCGAATAAGGTTATAGCCCGGGGAAGCCACATTTAAGAAAAACAGAGTTGAAAATGGTGTGGCTTAACCGGCAATGGTCATGGCTGAGTGATCGTGTGAATGTGGCTCTCCCGGCAATGCGCTATTAGCTAATCCATGTTACCGTAAATAATGTGAAATATTCATTATGTACAATCTCGAAATCCAGTTGAATTGTTCGTGGAGAAAAGTCCAGATCACGCAAACTAGCCGCCTCACGTAGGTTCACAAACACCTTTTACGAATTATTCATGATTATACAACCAATTACTTCTTTGAATGTAGAGGGAGGGGAGCTATTGTTGCCTCAGTTATTATTCTGGCATTCATACTAATAGCCAAAAATTTTTTTTAGAAGAATGACCATTTATTGCACAAATATACTTATAAACAACTACATATGTGACGTCTAACTCTTTCCATTTCATTGCTGTTTTTAAGCAAAATGTACGACTAGATTTCCCAAAATCAATATTTTTGCCGCCTTTGCAGTAATGACACATTGATTTAAAGTTGAAACGTCACAATAAATTTGATGAAAAATTCTTGTCCAAACTTCTCTGCTGATGCAGTATACCAATCATACAAACAAAGTAGTCTACACGAAGACATAAAATGACAGAAAATACAAATAAAATTTTCCTAAGAGCAAAAGCTTAAATTGACCTTTTCCATAGAATGACCCATTAGCATGTATCATTTTATCTCAAAACATATGTTATCATATGTTAACTAAAAACTTCAACGAGAATAAAGAAACCGCCCATCATATGTTAAAAGTTGACACCTATAAATCTTGCTTTTCTTATGTATTTCACTTCTAAATTCCCTTCAAAGACTTAACTTACTCCCAGAGGCTCCTTTGAGAGGCATACAAAATTGTAACTTAGTTTTCCTTCTAGAGGCTGTCTGGTTTGAATTAGGTATCTACCTAATTCACCGTAAATCATAAAATCTGATTGCTTCACATTCTTCAAACTGGCTACAAATCATTCATGCGCTCCTCTGGGGGTAACTTAATGAAACTTTAAAAGATAGATTAATTAACCTACTCAAGTAAATGTCTCTAAAAGATAAAAGCTTTGTGTAGGAAATGTGATCATTTGAAAGAGAAACAAATATACCTACTCAGATTTACGTGTTTAAATAATGTAACAATAACTGTTTTTAACTTAATAACTGAATTATAATTAATATAAATGTATTTATTAACCTTTGCTCTTTCCGATCAGCAGGTACCTATGTCGACCTACCTGCTTCATATCTTTGATAATCTATTTCATTATTTCTGTATCTATCGATGTTTTTTATTGAAAACAATAAATGCTCTTTAACCTTTAACGAACAATGTCTTCTGTGTTAATTAACTCATTAATGAACCATGTCTCATGTGGGTACTATTCAACAACAGGGTTGTTCCCACTTTCATTGTAGGGATGTGGAAACACTACCCAGGTGCACTCAACCATTAATTTATGTCTCACAACTGGGAGTTCTCACAAATAGGAGGACACCGTCGTAACTCACACTCATCAATTAACAAGGCAGTAGGCCTTGTTAATTGATGAATCTTAACTGACTGGACTCTCTCATCAGTTAACAAGGGATTAGGTCTTGGGACGTACAAAGAACAATTTACCATCACCCACCAGTTATCTCCCCTTCTGGACATTTCCAAAATTGGAAATCTTTGGAAATCTCATCTTTCCAAAATTGTAAATGTCATGGAAACATCATCTTTACAAGACATTTATAAGCTTGTAAACGTGGACTTCTTTTTCCAGTGATAATGACAACGTTCTTAGATATACCACGTCAATCATGCCCGCAGTAAAGGAGGTGTTATCAGTCTTGTTATTCAATGTCCAGCATATTATGCAAAACCTTTTTTCACGGTCCTCATAGGTCTTTACAGGATTCCCGTCTTGCCAGATCTGTATAATGCAGCGATGCTGTTCACACTGTGTGTCCGTCAAGGTATTGCACAACGTAACTGTAAATCATGCCATCCTTGTTTCAGTTGGTGCATTGGTCTGGCCCAGTTTCTATCTTGAACACTCCGGTTGGGGTTTGTTAAAAAACAATCCAAGAATAACGGGCAATGTCAAAGAATATTTTATTCAAAATAATTTTGCAAATTCAAAAGCTAACAATTGTTCATAACCAACTTGCATACTACGTCGTTTATCAAGAAATGTTACATTTCCTTTCTATCCTCATACCTTCCGACACCCTCATGTTTTGACATTAATGCTCGGTACTATTGTATCTACATTTGTTACAGATCAGTATGCCGACAGTGCCTGTTACACATAAATGACGGTGAATGCTTCTAATGCACATGGTGACTGCTCCCCATCCACTTTTACATGTTATGCTCGAGGGATCATGCAAAAGAAAATTGTCTCTAGTGTTCAGTTTATTTTAACATGTGTATTTGTGTTTGTGATTTTAGAATAGTTATAGTACACTCCAATATACAATGCATCCATGCTAATTGATATCACATGGTATTAAGCTTCCCTGTTTCATAACTTAAGTTGGACACACATATTTTACAGGTTGTCATAATCAGGTGTTATACCATGTGATAACAAAAAGCCATATTCCATGATCAATCAAATCAATTACTTATAACATGTTACTGGTATATACAACCTCACATTCAATATTAATTTTACATATTAATGTATATACACCAAACTAAAAATCACTTCACAAAAATTAAGTGGGGCAGTATGATTACAGTACTTGAGTGCTGTTAAACATTAGGGTAGCATGAACAATGATAATGTGGAGTTCACAGTGGCAGTGAGGTGCAACCCTAAACTCTAGATAAGGTATCTTCTGGCTTATGACCTTACTTCTGACACCCAGCACATCTTGGTTACACATATTTACAGCACAGAATCAACAAAAAGCTGTGTCTACGTATGGTGCAGCTGTACTTATCATGCTACAAATCTGTGTATGTTGCCGACTCAGCAATATACAATAATGGACCAAACTAATGACTACGAAAAAAACTATAAATTAATTGTCAAGGCGTTTTAAGACCCTTGAGAGTGCGCGGCTTAGCACCTTTATTCCTGTTACATGATGAAGTTTAGTCATGAAACAAAACATATCAAAACAATTGTCTCTGACATACAAGACATATTCCATGTCGTTTGACTTTTCGTCACTGCATATCAGAGAAATATGATGGGTTGGACTGTATGATATCAGTCAAATCGGCAAGCTATGAATATGTGGTGAAGTATGAGTATAGAGACCATAGAGACTGTATAAGCCTAAATATTTGCTGATATATTCAAAGATCTAATCAAAAAGAATGATATAATAGGTATGAATATTTTGATTTGCGTAACTGAATTATTTCTTTAAAGGAGAATAAAAAAATTAAAGAAGACATTTCACAGACAATTTTATGGTGTTCTTTTCTGTCTTTTGCATTTGAAGTTGAACTCTTCTTGGGTTATAGCTTTTATTGATGGTAAAATACATACTTGTTACAGCTGGGGAAACAAAAACTGCAAGTTGTTTAACCTAATGAAACATAACCATCCACTTGTACTGGAATTATAATGAAAATGATTCTTCATTTTCCAAATAACTTTTCCTTAGTTTATAAGTACAACTTGAACATGATCCATACAGCGATGTCCAACCAGCACCAATCATAAATCCCTTGGAAGGCAATAATACATTGCAAATGTACTGTAAATTATTACCTTACCTCAAAAGAAATAAATTATTTGGCATTAATAATGTGAAGTTTTACATGTTGGCATTTTACTAAAACTTATCAACAAAATAAAAAGATGAAGCCACAGGCTCTGTGGTTCACTAAAATGTTCCAGAAATGTACAACATCAAAAATTCAGATCATTTGAAATGATGATAATAGGTCTCATGCTTATGGAGACGTTGAGTGTAACACAACAAAAATGCTCTAGAACTTAGGATCAATCAAACCTTAAGTTTGATTTGAGCAAAATATTAAACATAAGGTACCTTAAACTATGCCAACATATGAAGAGATATAAAAAACACACAACCCTGACACACACATTCAGACCATGCATTCAAACAAATGGTTGAAAATATTTATTCTGTACACGTTTCATAAATACTGAACATTAAAATGATAATCCTTATGGGCTTTGCTTCTCAACCATCTGAGATTTAATTTAGCCTTGGAATTAAGACAAGAAAACATTCCATTTATGATATGAATTTAAGCATGCAGCATATGATAAAATATGCATTATACTGTAATGAATACAAACATGAATACTGATGCGGAGAAATTATATATAAGGCCTGATTTTAACAGGCAATAAATACATGAATGCATGTTAAATCTTGTCATTCAGGTTAAGTCATTCAAGTGGGAGGAAACTACCATTAAATGACAGGAATGTCATCAACATAATGCATACCACATCTCAATAATGTATATTGGCAGTGAATACATTCACTGCATAAAGTATGTTTAAACATGTCTGCAGTACATTAGCACTTGTTCATAGATGTATGCAAAGGTTATCCTTTCATGGCACTTTGACAAACATGACATCTTTTCCTGGGTGGCATCGCTCAATATGAGGGGTAACCTCAAAATCTTGTAACGGTCTAAATTGTGGACAGTAAGGGCAACAGAAACCTTGGTGTGATATCCTTGAATGACTAGTTTTTTTCACTGGCATAACTGATCGAGCTGGAGTGCTCTGTTTAGATCTTGGGTGGCTAGCAATGGGGACAGGGTGTCTGGCTCCATGTGACCTCTCTGCTAAAGCCTGAGCTACAGTCTTTGCACTTGATGGTCTTGGTGGTTGAGAACCAGGGACAGATAGAGATGATGTGTTCACAGGTGATTGGGAATGCATCTGAGGTAGCTGTTGAGGGGGAACATTAAGTCTTGTACCTTGATGCTGTGGTAACTGTGCAAGCACAAAAGAGTTACCAGTGTTTATTCCCGGAATGCACAAACCTTGTAACTGTAAAGGGTTCAATGGAACACCAGCCATCTGCATTTGTGCTAGCTGGGTATAGGGAAGGGCCTGTACCTGTTGCAAGAGAGTTCCTGGAGCAGCCAAGGTGCCAACAATGTTTGGGATGGTGTTTCCAAGGACTTGTTTAACTGGTGCCCTTACAGAAGTATTAGGAGTTGATTGTGGACTTGGTTTCAGTCGCTTTGAGTCTGGTTTTAAGTTAAATATTTTGAAAGCATCGGGAGGAAGATCATCAGATACAGTTTTTGACTGTGGGGGTGTTGATGATAAGTGTGTCTGAGCAGGAGACGGAGTTCTTGACAAGTCAAGAGGACAATTTCTGAATAATAGGGACTTTCGATGGGCTTGTGCTGCTTGAGATTGACTATGCTGGATATTAGCATTCATAGATGAAATCATAGGAGCAGCAGAACTAGGTCTTGGAGGTGGTTGAGGCCTTGGCATACTTGAATAGCTTGGTACCTTCAGAACAGGTCTGGATGCAGATAATGATGCTTGACTAGTATTCAACATAGGACTACTTCTGCTTGTTAAAGGACTACTTGTGGACCGAAGCAGAGCCTCCCGAGTGGACTGTGGACTACTTCTTGGATTAAGGGGACTACTTCGAGCATTCAGAGGACTATTTCTTTCCAGTAGTGCAGCTTTTTCCTTTTCTCTTTCTCTTTCTGCAGCTCTCATATGAAGCCTATGAAGTTTATCCGTCATAGAGAACAGTGAAGACTTGGGTCTGCATATCTGTAGTTCTTTAATCTTTTCTGCCACCAATGGTCTGTCTGCTAAAGACACAGATGCTGTTTGTTGTGTTGGTGTAGAGGAAACATGTGTCTTTGCAATGTGTCCCTCAGCTTGCTGTGATGCTGTAGTTTTGGGGAGAATAGGCACACCAAATCTTTTGAGTGGAGGTGGAGGTGGGGGTGCTGTGTTTGCAACTATTTGTTTATTTGCTGTGACTGGGGCAGTGGTGGTTTGGGTGACAGATGCAGTAGTAACTGTTGAGACACGTACTGTTGTGTCCACAGACACAACTGATGAGGCCACTGCAACAGCTGCCGAGTGGGATATGACATTTGAGGAGTCAATAAGACTAGCAGGGCTACTGATTGCAGATGTTGACACTGCTGGAACTACAATATCACCATCTTCTTCCACAACATTTACATTAGTGTTCACAGGGTCATCAACACTTTCACAGTCCATCACCAGCTCCTGAGCTTGATCAGGACTTGGCTTTGAAGAACCTTTTGCTTTAGAGGATGAGAACCGTGTGTTGGCCAACATAACACCTTTTGGCTGAGAGTGTTCCGGTTGAACCGGTGTTGGAAATCTTGGGAATCTTAGAGTTAGCTTTGGCGCAGGAATTCCTCCAACATCTTGAGATATCAGTGGGGGTCGACCTCTCTTTGGTGATTGCCCTGTTGACCTGATTGCAGATGGTCTGGTAGGGTTTCTACTTTCTCCCACAACTAAAACATCATCTTCAGATTCATCAGTCAATACACTTATGGAAGGTTTTGGAGCTATTTTCCTATTTGTATCAGGTTTAGCACCTTTGTTAGCATTTACTTTATCATTGTAAGCACCACTTTTTGAAATAGATGGTATTCTCAAAAACAAATTATCTTCAATAGCCACAGACAATGGATGGTCATTTGGATCTTGGTTGTGTTCTTTCATGATGTGGGCAAACACAACTTCATCTGATTTGTCTTTGAAAGTCTTACACAATGGACACACTTGAACAAAGGCATCAGGATGTTCCCTCTCTAGATGTCCAAATGTGTAGTCCAGTGATGGCATGTGTGCCTGACACTTCAAACACATGTATATGTCTTTCTCAATAACAAATGTATTGCCTACCTTGTTGCACTCCACACCAGATGGAATCGCAAGCACCTGAACAAATGTCTTGGCAGTGTCAGAAAGAGACACTTCATTCTTTGCACAGTTAGAAGGATGCACTTTTTTCACATGTTCATGGACATTTACCTCAGTAGTGAACTCTGGCTTTTGTGAATTAAAGCTTTTGCAATAAGGGCATGTGAACAGTGCAATTTCACTGTGATAATTTTTCAAATGCTCCACCATTGCAGACAGATAGGGAGAATGGATGTTACATTTCATACACTTGTATGTGCAAGTTATTCGCTCATTCCTCAAAACCAAAGCATCAACATCAACCTCAGGCAGGTTGTTGGCTCCACGAGATGTCTGACTGGTGTTTCGGGTTGGCATCTTTTTCTTTTGAGGCTCAACAGCTGGTTCAGGGTTCTGATCACGCAAACTGACAACATCAACAATTTTTAAGCTCGACACACCAGAGTCATCATGGTTAGTGTCATCACTTATATCTGTTACCATGGCATTTTCCTCTGCACCTGTATTTCCTTGATCCACAGCATCTTTCTGTTTCTCCAAAGATGGAACAGTATCAACCCTGAAACAAGAGCATTTAAGAGTCATTTACTATGTAAATCCAAAATATAACTAGCCTCTCCGTGCTAAAATAAGTTTGTTTCAATAATTGAAACACATTTCATTAAGGATTTTGACAACATGCAAATGTCACCTACACACACCTGATTTTGGGCCAATTACAAACAATATTTATAAAGCAAGTAAGCATGAAAGTTCGAAATGAATATGCTAAGTTTTAAATTTTAAATCTCACTCACAATTTGAAATGATTAAATTAACATTAATAATTATACAAAACAAAATATAAGTTGAGGGAATTCTTGAAAATCTGCAAATTTTCAGTTGTCTTCTTTGGTAAACATTACAAGATCCACAAGAGAAATATCATTAAGAATAAACTCAGAAATATCATTCAACAATTACTTACACTGAGGATGAATCTTTCAGGCTTTTCCCATTACGTTCAGTGGCAGCCTTTGTATCAATAGAGGAAGGTTTTGCTTCTGGAATATTTGCTTTCTCATTGCAAGCCTCTTTCTCTGAAAGTTCTTTCTCCTGAGTCTTGATGTCTGTTGTGTCAGTGGTAATGTTGCTGAGTTTTTCTGCCGACTGTTGATCAACAGTAGTTGCACCTTTGGCTTCACTTTCCACTGTAACTGGTTGACTGTCACCAAGGTTACACACAGAATCACTGTCCATTGTATTTGATAGAGTTTCATTTTCAACTGTCGTTGTACTGTCAGCTTCTGCAGATGTTTTGTTTTTCCACCCTTCTTGGACATACAGGAAGTCCCTGGCTCTTTGATAATGAGCTTTCCGTGGGTTTTCACTGTTAGAATCATCACCTACATTGGTTGTGGAGAACAAATTGTTCATTCTGTCAAAAATATTACCTCTGTCCTCCAGCTGTGATTTATCTGCCACCTTCATCTGTTCTACATCATAGAAATTTGGTAATTTTCTATATGACTGGGGCCTTGAAGGATGTGTTGTTTGGTTGTGACTCATAACCGTTTCTTCAGAGTTGAAGTAAGCATCTGCACACAAGATACATGCATACAGATTTTCAACTGAATGCAAATCCTTTGAATGTTGCTGCACATCCTCCAGGATATCTGTAGAATAGTCACAGTGGGTACACATAAAACGCTTTGCATTGGGAGACTTCAATGACTTGCTGTCCACAAGGAAAGATATGATGACTGGTCCAGATGTTGCTCCACTCACTGATCCTGGATCAACAGGCTTCAGCAGACTTGTTTCGACTGGCACTTTTGGTGCCTCTTCTATCACATGATATAAGTCACTTTCAATCAAGTCTTTACTTTTGATTATCTTTGACTCTTTTCCATGATGTTCATTCTTTGAATGTGCTGAGGCTCCAACCATAGAGGCAAAAATCTTATTACAATACCCACACTTAAATGACAAACCAGGTATATGACTGTAGACATGAAATTCCATTGTCTTCTGAACAGCAGAGGAAAATTCACACTTGTTACAAACATACTTCACACCTGGCTTTCTATCACCAGATAAATGCTTCAGTCTAACACTTTCTGGTACAGTTGGGGCAGTCACTACTGGAGCAACTGGGGCAGCAGCTTGGGTCAGTTTTGTTATGCTCTCTTCTGCTTTGTTATTAGTCTTTCTGGATGACTTGGCAGCATCTGTGCCTTTGGCAGACTTTGGCTTTTCTTTCTTCTTTGACTTCAAAAATTCAACAAAACTTCCAACAAAGCCAACTTCATCAAGTTCCTCCACCTTTTTCTCTGCTTGAGCTAGCTCTGGATTTGTTCCGTCGTCCTGTTTCAATTTTAAAAGCTGTGCAACTGTCAAACCATCCTTATTTTTATTTTTAGGTGGTCTACCCCTAGGTCTTCCAGATTTGAATTGACTCTTTCTGCCTTTCATCATTCTTTTCTTCTTCACTGTAGCTGGTGCAGGTGGAGAGGATATATCTCCACACATCTCCATGCCTCCACTAACACCAAGATCTGATTGCTGTGAACCGCTCTGACTCTCATCTTCAGACTGATTTGGCAAATTCAGCTGTTTAACAAAGTCTACAAGTTTCACTGAGCACGGTGTGCATAGTTCCATAAGTTCTTCAAAGTTTCCAGCTTTCTGTACATTTGAGATACCCACTTCTGCAATGTTGCTTTCCTTAAAAGCTGATTTAGCTAGATTTTTTCTTTTGCCAATCTGCTTTTCAATCTTCCTGGCCAATCGTGTTGCTTCATTTTTGTCATATTCCTCCTCAATGCGTTTTTGTCTCATTGCAATTATCTCAATAGGTGACCTGGAAATCTTTGGTCGCAATTCAAATTTCCTCACTGGTTTTCGACCAGGTTTACCTGACTTTAGTCTGATGGTGAGAGGTGGTACACGCTTTTCTGAGTCAACGGGAGATACGTCAGAGTTTGAGCTAAAGCTTGCATCTTCCACTTCATTTGTTTCAGTGAAAACATCATTTTCTTTTTCAAGCTTCTTGTCCGATACCTTATCTGAGTTGACCTTGGATCCATCAAGATCACATTCAACTACATCCAGGATATGCTCCATGAGAAGTGCAATAACATCAACTTTTGAGTTATCTTCACAGTTTTCATTACTGTTTGAATCAACATTAGAAACACCATCCTCCAAACCAATGTCTGCTATTAAGCTATCGTCTTCTTCACTCAGACGTGTGACTTTAAATTTACCTTTATGTCGTTTGAGCTTCATTTTGATGCCACCTAGTTCACATTTGTGCTCTTTATCCTTCGAATCAGCATCACTCACTGCATCCATTTGGTCATTAGAACCAATGTCAGTGTCTGATTTAATTACCTCTGATTCATCACATTTTTCAGAATCTTCATGATCAGTGTTAACAATATCATTAACAACAGCCTGCAGACAAGCCTTAACTGTTTCATCTAAATCCTCCTCCTCACGTGTTGATTTTGATTGCTGTTGCAAGGATTCCATCTTTACAGGGTCAGAGGTGTCTATTTCCATCTTGTCCACATTATCTACATCCGGCTGGCAGGGCTGAGTGACCGGTTCAGAGACCTTCTGAGGTTCAGAGACCTTCTGAGGTTCAGCTTCCTTAGAAGTTACAGTCATCCCATTTTCAAAACTATCAGTTTTATCTGTATTTGACAACAAATGCATATCACTTTGAACTGCTTCAACAGCTTCTCCTGTTTCACTTGATTCTTCATGAGATGGTCTCAAGGTCTCCTGTGTGATGCCATGGTTCACATCAAAGCTTTCAATTACTGGTGTTGGTACTGCATCATGCACCTCATCAGTGGCAACAAATGGAACTATTTCTTCCCGACAAACCATAACATCACCATCCATGGATTCTAAACTATCTAAAGCACCATCCCCAGGACAACTTTCCTCTATTACAGGGTCAATATCATCATTCAAAACAGAATTGCGTACTTTATCCTGTTCTTTTGCTATTAGTCCAGCCTCAAAAGTAGCTGGTTCTAAAACAGGTGGTTCAAGGTCTTCATTGCTGGGAGCAGGGCTGATCAAATCCTTAATTATTGGCAAGTCTGGATGCTGCATTTCAGGTGACAAAGGAGAACCTGTTCTAGAATCTTGTTCAGACACCACAATTCTAAGAGGTGTGATAACTGGTGGGTTACTCTCTTCCTCACATGTAACAGGATCAGTTTCCAGCCCTGCAGATTCTTCGTCAATCACCCTCTTGGTTTCAAGCAAAAGTGATGGTTTGTCTTGAGACTGTTGAATGGTCCTTTTGCGAGTTGTCTTATACATCTGAGAGGCTTTTAATATTCTTCCTCCTCTTACTCTACTGAATGGCCTGTGTTTCTGATCAGATATAAGTAGCTTGTGGGTATTTTTAACTTTGAGAGATTTCACAATAGGCTGTCTGGGTACACCAATTTTGGGCCTGCCTGGTTTTCGCTTCACATCACCTGACATGCCAGTTGGTTTGAAACTTACTTCAGAGTCATCTTCCTCCTCAAAGTCAACACCAGAAAAAGTATAGGGATCAGTTTGGCATTCCTCATTCCGCAAGATCCGTTGCTTCTTTACACTAACTGTTTCTTTGGAGATTTTAATGTCAGTAATTGCATGAGCAGCACCTTTAGACATTTGAGGATGTCCCCGCTGCTCCATATTCTCATCAATTTCTCCAGATTCACTTACCTGTGAATCTTGAGACACTAAACGCTTTCTCTTCGGAGGTCTTCCTCGTTTCTTTGGTTTTTCATCATCTCCAGATGCAACAGAAACAGATGTTGAGCTGTCAGGAAGTGCAATGTCTGCTTGTTTTCTGAATGTCGTCTGTTTAGTTCCATGTCGTTTGATGACAATACTTGTATCAGATTCATCAACTGAGGATTCACGTGAATTTCCAGAAGCTTTGGATTTCTTTACCAATTTCTTTCCAGAGGTTATCAGAGGAGATGGAGTATCAGTCCAACTCGAATCCATGGACACTGTCGTTTGAGATTTCATACTGGTGGATGTAACGCCATACTTTTTCCTTCTCTTTCCTGTCACTGCCACTTCGTTGTCTGAATCTATCAAATTGGAAGCATCAGAATCATTTTGATCAGTTTCTGCTCCACTTGCAGTATCATTATTTTCTTTCAGCTGCCTCTTGAGAGACTTTTCATCAAGGAGTTCAAAATCAGCACTTAAAGTTCTCTTCCTTTTTGGTTTCGGAGCCTTTGATACCTTCTTTCCATGCCTCATTAGCATTTCACCAATTTGGCTCCGCAGCTTCCTTTGTGGTTTGGCAACTAACTGAGATCTTTTCTTTCCAAATTGTCTTTTAGAACCAGAGCTGGATGGCTGTGTGTTCACTGATTTGGAGAGTTCACAATCTGCTTCCTTTTTCCCTGATTGTGAGCTATCTTTCACTGTACCACCATGCCCTGTCTCACCATCTTTGTCAGTTGTGTCAGCTTCATCTTTTAACTTCCCTTTGAGCTTTGGTGGCCTTCCTTTACGCTTTAGTCCAACTGACTGGTCCTTTGAGTCATCCTTGACCTTTATCTTTGTCTCCTTCTTATTTGTCTTGGAAGACGACGACGATGCAGAAACAGCCCCCACAATTTTTCGTCCAGAGACACTGGAATGTCGCAACTTTGAGAGAACCAAGACCTTCTTAATTTTGAAGCTTGGGGTATCCCTCATATTATTCAGCTCTCTCTGCAATTAAGAAAACAAAATTAACACACCTTCCGAGGGACAAATTATACAATGTATACAGATTCCTGTAAGAGTGATTAGGTTATTAATATATACTGTCCCAAAAAAGAAACGCATATAGGAATTTCAACTGTATTTTTATGTTTATTTGAAACATCTTGTAGGCTTTATGAGTCAATGAAATATAGCGAAATAGCACAATCGGAATGCAGACTTATCCATCTTTGGCACTAACTCAAGGAAAGTCAGTTTGAGTGTCATGGAGACGTGTGGTGGCGCTGAAGTCAATACCTCGTGTGACCACCGTGGGCATCCAGAACTGCACGGCATCGCCTCGGCATCGAACGAATAAGTCTCAGAATCTTGTGTTGCCCAATTGCAGTCCACTCTGCCTGTAGTGCCTGTGCGAGTTGCTGAAGTGTCTGGGGCTAAGGGTTACGGCGTCGCACCCGTCTGTCCAGGGCATCCCACAGATGTTCGATCGGGTTTAAGTCCGGTGATCTTGAGGGCCAGGGGAGCACATTGATGTTGTGGTTCTGGAGGAAGTCTCTAGTGTGACGTGCTGTGTGGGGCCTGGCATTGTCCTGTTGAAACAACTCCCTCTGACGATCAATGATTGGAAGGAGGTGTGGGCGTAGGATTTCGTCACAGTACCGTTGAGCTGTCAGGTTGCCCTGGATCATCACCAAATCACTTCTCCTCGGCGGGTGATCGCCCCATCATCATAACACTGCCCCAGCCGAATCTGTCCACCTGGGGAACGCAAGCGTCAGTGAAACGTTCACGTCGACGTCTGTACACCCGCATTCTTCCATTGCGTCGTTCCAATAGAAATCGTGATTCATCACTGAACCAGATTCTACGCCAATTCGGTAGGTTCCAGGCCTGAACGTTGGTGCACTATTGAACTTCGATGTCGGCGATGTTGTTGTCGAAGCACAGGGCCAAAATAAGGTCTTTTGGCACGTAAACCAGCCTCTCTCAACCTGTTCCTGACGGTCTGTGCAGAAAGCCTCCTCAATCCGGGTATTTGTCGAGCGGTACTGGTTGCCGTAGCTGTTCGATGACGCAGGTGATGTACCCGGATGAAGCGATCCTGCGCCGCAGTGGTCGCTCGAGGTCGCCCACTACGAGGGGCATCTGCTACTGAATTCTGCCGGCGATATCTCTTTCAGAGCCGTGAAATAGTGCTTTGGTGAACATTCATGCATCAGGCAACTGCACGTTGAGACTGGCCAGCTTCAAGCAAACCAATGGCGATATGACGGTTGGCTTCACTTAGACATGGCATTTTGCGTTCATCAACAATATTTCAAATACAGTGAATAATCGACAGACAGCGATCAAACTTTTATACCCATCATTGAGACTATCTCATCCCCAACTTTCACGTGCATTGCATGTGAATTGTGTATTCTGTCACACTACACGCCGAAATTGAAATCATGCTGTTCAATACGGGTATTTTACGGATGGTGCGTTTTGTTGTGATGTTTCAAAACATAAACACCATAGGACTCATAAACAGAGCAAAACCTTTTGTAAAATGAATCACCTTTTAATTCATTGCTACATGAAATTGCTATTTTCATGATGCGTTTCTTTTTTGGGAGAGTATATAATGTTGCATCGGCACTATTTCCAACTTAGACATAACCAACTTTCTGTTGGTGACATAGGTTATAAAACACCAGCAATAAGAAAGGCCACTTTGTGGGTCATGGATCCACATGAGACAAGAAATGTGTTCATACTTTGTACCATCGTACCAGTTTTATATTGTGATGTCCTGCTATATATGTAAATGAAAACATCTCATAATATAAGTGACAGAGCACTCGAACTGTAAAATATACCATTCATACGATATTCATATTATCTAATGCAGTCCACATAATCAAGGTTTGTTTTAGGGTAACATGTCCTTGTAGTGTGTTGCTAAATGGGGACTAGTTCTTTGCATTAATTTGTATCTCTGAAGGTATCAGTAATAGAAATACACAAATATCTTTCTGAAAAATATCAATCAATGAAAAAAATATTTTAGATTAAACAAAACACTTTCCATGATCATAAAAGTGAGTAAGTTTGGTTTACGCCACTTTTAGCAATATTCCAGCAATATCACGACACGGGACACCAGAAATGGGCTTCACACACTGTACCCATGTGGGGAATCGAACCCGGGTCTTCGGCGTGACGAGCAAACGCTTTAACCACTAGGCTACCCCACCGCCTCCATGACCCTAAGACAGCTCAGGTAAGTCCACTGTATCCATAGTGATGACACCAGGTGTTCATTAAAAAGTGAGCAAGTGGCATCTGTCAGACACACATACCACAAGTCAAATATTGAACTAAAAAAAACACAAAAACATATGGTGCAAGTTAAAACAGCAAATCGGATCAGATATCAGTTTTGTCAGAGATGTGTGTCAACTTTGGACATGTCCACACAGATGAACCATTAACATTTTCAAAACTTAACGAAAGTCTCAAACGTTGTGACTCCGATTAAGAACTCTTACGCAAGATTTGTTAAGTCAATGGCATCAAATGACATTGAAGTATAATGGATTTACATATATACATTAGGAACACGGATTATGAATCCCAACCAGTAGCATCCCAACCAGTTACCTTGACATTACTTTCAGGATGATTTTAATAAGTCTTCAAAGCATGAATGCACAGTATTTTTGTCTGAATATTATTGTCTTTGCGCGCATCCTTAACACACTTAAAATGTACTTAATATTAACAATGATCCTATGCAATAATAGGACATAATATCTCGCTAGCAGAAGTCATGGGTATGCACTGTGTAATTTTCAAAACTAGTGTAAACATGAGATTCAAGTACTGACTTTTCAACCTGTCTCCCTGGTTTGGGACTGGCCTATATATATTACCTGAAGTACATCACTGATGTCTGAATTTGTTAAAACACCAGCAGTCTATACAATGAGCCTGTTTCAAACACATAACAGACAAAATAATCTGCCGAGGTTATATATATGATATCAAACTATGTAATACTACAATACAAAGATTAATTGTGAATATTCATCAACATATGCACAAGAGACCACCAAGCAAGTTCAGAATCAAAACATGTTAACAATGAGTATAGAAGGTGCCAAGTGATCGTTCAGGAAAATCTATCCAATTATTACAACTGTTACATTTTTCAGAAACACTGAGACAAAATCACATTTGAATGGTGCTATGAATACTAGTTCTTATCTTATGTCTGCAGATGCAGCAGATCTTCAATGTGAAATCAGCAAGCCAGATCAACTAGAGCATTTCATGACAAAATTTTGTCAAAGGTTACCTCAATCATCACTTAAATATATTTCAAACTATTTAAAACGATATGCCTAAAATACTAAATGGTAGATGTGCAGTCTGCGAGACGAACAATTGAGTCTCAAAGTCCAAATAAGGCTCTTAAAATAATTTTTGGAAGATTTTAGCAACATCCTATGGACTACTAGTACTATCACCATAAATTACAGGACAACAGTTTTCCTCAATTTTTTGTCTTTTTACTCAATAAACCTGTTTTACCTAATCTATTAATGTTTTTTACTTCAACATAAACAGATGTTAGTTGAAATCAGGTTTTTAACATTTCATGACAGGACAAAAACATGGCTAATGCCCAACACATGCCCAATGACATTTACGAAACATTTTCTCATGATAAGTTATTTTGTTAAAACCTTTGATAACATAACCTATTGATGTCAAGCAACTTAACATTAGTTTCCTGGCTACACAGTACCACAAATGACTTATCAATTTGTATACTTGCCGAACTCAAACTGCACCCGAGTCTGTTAACCTTTTCTGTTTACAACACATCACAAAGTCTGGCACATATATAGAAGTATCTAGCTTCACCTTCCACTACACAAGTATGATTTATAGTGATGGCCAGTCTATTTTATCAGTGCCTATTATGTGCAGTTTAGAAGTGTACAGCTATACAGTGACAGTAGGTTAACAGCTGTGGACAGCCTAGGTAACACCAATGGGGTGTGACATGGTAACTATACGCTCACATGAAATATGATCTCTTACAAGCTTCTGACATTTCAATGTTTTGATACTTACAAGTCTATAAAAAAAATTATGGAGTTCAAATCATCAATGAACAACCAAGTTGTCAAAATATTACCAAAATAAATATTCTTTTAATTCAGTGTTTCAACATTTGGCAATTTAGGGACCATTGTTAAAACCCAAATGCCAGAATAAAATTGGGGCTTTCCTTCACTGAATAAAAACGGAGGAGAGATTCCTGAATTATGCTCAGTGTTTAACATTTTATCATATAATTGTGAGTGAGTGAGTATGTTTTTAAGCTGCTTTGAGCAATATTCCAGCAATATTACGGCAAGGGACACCAGAAATTGCTTTCACACATTATACCCATGTGGGCAATCAAACCCGGTCCTATATATAATTGTGAATGATATATGGACAAGAACTAAATTGATGTCAATGTAATTCTTTGCTAGACTTTTACTTGCCTTTGCAAGTGTTTGTGACAGCTGCCACTGATAGGGCAGGATATGCTCACCTTTCCCTCAACAGCTTGTATCATTATTCAATATTATATGTAAGAACATCCCTATGATACAGTATGAAAAGAATTGCTTTTAGCATAGAGTTCTTTTGATTTTGTTATTTATTGCCTTTGTTAATGTGAACTTGCCATAGTAACTGCAGTAACCTTAGCCTTAATCTTCCTCAGTGACATTTTTATAAATGTAGATGCATTGCAATTTAGCTTAAAGTTAGTTTCTAATGCTTGAAAGAACACCATACAAGTATAAGAAAAGAGAGAAAAAACATACCTGCATTGCACAAATACCTTTTGACAACATTCAGGAAGCGAAGCCAGTGATTACTTTACTTACATACAGTTTGCATGAATTTGGGAAAAAGCAAGAAAATGCATACCCTATAAATGCTCTTAAGGCACAGTA